AAAATGCAAAAAATAATTTTCACTATTTTTTTTTTTACATACTGTCACCAGTGCAGTACAGTGTCTTCATATAACTGGCATGGCGGTGATCAGGGACACTGACTGGTGACAGTATGAAGAAAAAAAAATTTTTTTTATTATTTTAAATTTTTTATTACAATTGTTTTCATTTCTTTAAGATTTTTTTTGTCATATTTCACTATGTCCAAAGTAGTACAATGTTACCATAGTAACATTGTACTACTTTGAGGAAGTGATCAGTATTTTTTTTTTTTTTACACAATTTGCTTATAGCAAAGAGTTTACCTGAATGACATCAATTCATTCAGTGTTTTTTTTTTTGTTTTTTTTTGTGCTTAACTGTGATTTGGCCACAGCTAATCACATGACATGTGCATGTGATTAGCTGTGACCATTCACAGCTAGACAGTAGTATACAATGGATGGCATGAATGAAGCCATCCATTGTATACAACTGTCATGTGACCTGCTGTGATTGGTCACAGCAGGTCACATGGTACCGGCAACAGGGCCGATACTCAGATCTGTCATTGGCCGTGTCCGAGGTACACGGCCAGTGACAGATCTCGCCGCTGTGCGGCTCTGCAAACGCAGCTCTGCAAGCGCGAAAAGTGCGCATGTGCGGGAGGACGCCATTTGGCGTCCAACCCGGAAATCCAATACATTTTGCCGGCCGCCTTTTGGATATTGGCCGGCGTGTATTGGTTAACCGCCAGCCTACAGGGCACTTATACCCCCTTCCTGCCCAGGCCAATTTCCAGCTTTGCACTTTGAATGACAATTGTGCGGTCAAACAACAATGTACCCATATGAAATTTTTATCATTTTTTTGTGACAGATAGAGCTTTATTTTGGTGGTATTTATTCACCTCTGGGTTTTTTTATTTTTTCTTAAACCAATAACCACTGAAAATTAAAAAAAAAATGTTTTTTTCTTAGTTTTTGTTATTCATTTGTGTAAATAAGTGATTTTTCTCCTTCACTGATGTGCGCTAATGAGGCTGCACTGATGGGCACTGATAGGCTGCACTGATGGACACTGATAGGTGGCACTGATGAGGAGGCACTGGTAGGGGGAACTGATGGGCATTGACAGGCATCACTGATGGGCACTGAAAGGCAACACTGATACATGGCACTGACTGGCACTGTTAGGCGGCACTGACTGGCACTGATAGGCGGGCACTGATTGGCAGCACTGAGAGGTGGCACTGACTGGCACTGATGGGTGACACTGAAAGGCGGCTCAGATGGGCACTGATATGTGGCACTGATGGGCACTGGCACGAGGCACTGACATAAGGCACTGATGGACACTGACAGGTGGCACTGCTGGTGCTACACTGATCATCAGGGCGCACTGATCATCAGTACCCTGATGATCAGTGTACATGTCCCCTCCGCGAAAAGCCAATTACCGGCTCTCCTCTCCTCTCGAGCTGTCAGCGTGACAGCTCGAGAGGAGAGAAATGCCGATAACCGGCATTTCCCTGTTTACATGTCATCAGCTGTGTTTGGACACAGCTGATCACATGACCGAGCCGACATTTTCGGCTCTTTCCGTGATCAGTGTTGCGCTGTGTCCGAGGGACACAGCGCACCTCCGATCGCCGCCGCGCTGCGCGCTCTCTTAGCCGTGCATGTGCAGTGAGAATGGGAGGACGTCATATGACGTCCTCCTATAACGAGAGAACCACCTTGCGCTCGTCATATTACTATATGGCGGGCAGGAGGTGGTTAATGTGAACTGCCATTGAGCTGAACTGCCTTGTTTGATCTGAACTGCGTTGTTTGATCTGAACTGCCTTTTGAGCTGAAATGCCTTTTGAGCTGAAATGCTCTTGTTTAATCTGAACTGCCTTGTTATCTGAACTGCTTTTTAATCTGACCTGCCATTGATCTGAACTGCCTTGTTTAATCTGAACTGCCTTGTTTAATCTGACTGCCTGCCATTGATTTGAACTGCCTTGTTTAATCTGAACTGCCTTGTTTAATCTGACCTGCCATTGATCTGAACTGCCTTGTTTAATCTGACCTGCCTTGTTTAATCTGAACTGCCCTTGAGCTGAACTGCCTTGTGTAATCTTGTGTAATTGTGTAATGAGTTCTCAGAAGCCCGCCTCACCACTTGCCCCTTGACCCTGTCCCCCACACAACTCCTCCAGTCTCTCCCCCTCCTCCATCATTCGCTCCCTCACCCACATCTTCAATCTCTCCATTTTAGCAACAGTGCTAAACCTTCTCCATTTGTAAACAGTCTGTCTTATCGTGGACACATGAACATCAAGGCTTTTGGAGATACTTTTGTAATCCTTTCCAGCTTCATGCAAGTCAACAATTGTTGATCGTAGGTCTTCTGAGAGCTCTTTTCTGCGAGGCATGGTTCACATCAGACAGACAGTGCTTCTTGAAACCAGTAAACCCAAAACAGGTGTAGACTCCAATTGTTTTTTTTAAGGGCAGGACAGCTGTCAGCAACACATCCAATATCATCACACTGATTGGAGTCAAGGTTGGCTCACTCCTGGCTCCAATTAGCTCTGGGAGATGTCATTAAGCTAGGGGCCTCACATACTTTTTCCTCCCTTCACTGTTATGTGCAATTAAACCATGGCAACATCTAATGTTTGTGTGTATTATGTTCAGCAGACTGTGTTCTTCTATTGTTGTGATTTAGATGACGTTCAGAGCACATTTTATGCCCAATTCATGCAAAACTCCACGTAATCCCAAGGGGTTCACATACTTTTTCTTGCAACTGTATATAAATACTGCATAATAATAGTAATAATAATAATAGTAATCTAAGCTGCCTTGTTTTGAGCTGAACTTCCTTGTTTAATCTGAACTTCCTTGTTTAATCTGAACTTCCTTGTTTAATCTGAACTGCCTTGTTTAATCTGAACTGCCTTGTTTAATCTGAACTGCCGTTGAGCTAAACTTCCTTAATATTAACTGCCATTGAGCTGAACCGCCTTGTTTTATCTGAATTGCCGTTAAACTGAACTGCCTTGTTTAATCTGAACTGCCCGTTGAGCTGAACCGTCTTGTTTTTATCTAAACTGCCTTGTTTGAGCTGAATGGCCTTGTTTGAGCTGAACGGCCTTGTTTAAAACTGAACTGCTGTTGGTCTGAACTGCCTTGTTTAATCTGAACTGCCGTTACGCATGAACTGCCTTGTGTAATCTGAACTGCCATTGATCTGAACTGCCATTGATCTGAACTGCCTTGTTTGAGCTGAACTGCCTTGTTTGAGCTGAACGGCCTTGTTTGAGCGGAACGGCCTTGTTTGAGCGGAACGGCCTTGTTTGAGCGGAACGGCCTTGTTTAATCTGAACGGCCTTGTTTAATCTGAACGGCCTTGTTTAATCTGAACGGCATTGTTTAATCTGAACTGCCTTGTTTTAATCTGAACTGCCGTTGAGCTGAACTGCCTTGTTTAATCTGAACTGCCGTATAGCTGAACTGGGTGGTCTGGTGGGGGACTGTGACACACTGGCTCTGAGGAAGAGGTACAACCTCGAAACGCGTCAGCCACCAGCTATCCAGAGGTTCACAGTCCCCCCACCAGACCACCCATAGGGGTTCCTGAACCACTCTGCATCCCTTGCGACATGTTTCTCATTTTGATCTGATTTTACTTTTCTCTTGTGAGTATTTTACAATTTATAAATAAATCCTATTTTTAAGGTAATGCGCCATTCCTGTGCGCCCTCTTTTTGTTTCTTATATACAGCTTTACCCATTGTGCATAGTATTGGTAATTAATAATTAGAATGAATGGATTTCATTTGGTATGCTTCATCTATATTAAGGACAATAAATATCAGTCTGTGTATGACAAGAGCTGGGGCATGTAAAGGAATGGAGAGGGGGTAAAATGTTCACCCTGCCTTCCTTCACATGGCAATTTCATTACAGTTCCACAAAGAGAATGCCCAATCCAGCAGAGACATCCCCAAAATCCAGCACAGAGACAGTCTACATCCAGCAAACAGACAGTCCCAATCAAAGCAGGGAGATAAAACCCAGCACAGCCCCTAATAAAACAACACACAGTAATCACAAAACAGTACACAGCTAACCCTTTGATCGCCCAGATGTTAACCCCTTCCTGCCCAGCGTATTAGTGCTTTTTATTAGCATTGATTACTGTATTAGTGTCACTGGAGATGTGAGTGGCAGTTGGTTCTCACTCAGTGCCAGAATGCCCACCAAAGTCGCTGATTGCCACCATTACTAGTATAAAAAATTAACCACTTGTCTACTGGGCACTTATGCCCCCTTCCTGCCCAGGCCAATTTTCAGCTTGCAGCGTTGTCACACTTTGACAATTTTGCGGTCATGCAACACTGTACCCACATGAAATTATCATTTTTTTCACACAAATAGAACTTTCTTTTGGTGGTATTTAATCACCACTGGGTGTTTTTATTTGTTGCGCTATATATACACTTATTGGGATTTTTGTGAACCAAAGACATGTAGCAGAGTATCTTTTGGCCTAAATTAAGAATTTTTTTTCCCCAAATTTTTTTATGGGGTATGTTTTATAGCAAAAACCTTCTTTTTTAATTTTGGTCATTGTTCAGTTATAAAAAAAATAAACTCAGCGATGATCATATACAACCAAAAGAAAGCTGTGTGTGAAAAAAAGGATATAAATTCCATTTGTATGCAGTGTTGCATGACAGCACAACTGCCATTTGAAGTAGCACAGCGCCGTATAGCAAACAATGGCCTGGGCAGGATTGGTGGGGGGGTTGGGGGTAAATCTTCCGAAGGGCAAGTGGTTTCGTTTCCATAAAAGGGAAAGCTGGACATGATATTTAGAGATGAGCGAAGTATTCAAAAAATTCGATTCGGCTGATTCGGCGAATTCGAGGAAAAATTTGATTCGATGCGAATATATTCGCTGCGAATTTAACTTATAAAAGGGTGTTTCTAGGCTTCAGAGAGCCTTTATATTAGTGCTGAACACTGTACCTTTAATTTAAATGCCCTTGGAGTCTGCTGGGGAAGAGAAATAATACTGTCAGTCAGTATGACATGCAGATGAGTGCCGTCGATCTTAGAATCACCGCACACTTCACTCATTTGGGCAGTCACGGGACCAAAACCAGAGTGTGGAGCCACAGTGTGGCGGTGGAGGCAGCAGCAATGGGAGGCCATACAGCACCCTATGACAAAAATGGAACCCACCAGCAGTGTGAGGAGACCTGAAAGTGGCACATGGCAGAGTGTGGCGATGGAGACAGCAGCAATGGGAGGCCGTACAGGGACCCATGAGACACTCTGGACCTGGCAGCAGCATTAGGAGGCGGTACAGGGGCCCATGGCAGATTACGGGCCTGGCAGCAGCAATGGGAGGCCCGTAATCTGCCAGCACCCTATGACAAAATGGAACACACCAGCAGTGTGAGGAGACCTGAAAATGGCACATGGCAGAGTGTGGCGATGGAGACAGCAGCAATGGGAGGCCATACAGGGACCCATGAGACACTCTGGACCTGGCAGCAGCAAGAGGAAGCGGTACGGGGGCCCATGGCAGATTACGGGCCTGGCAGCAGCAATGGGAGGCCCGTAATCTGCCAGCACCCTATGACAAAATGGAACACACCAGCAGTGTGAGGAGACCTGAAAGTGGCACATGGCAGAGTGTGGCGATGGAGACAGCAGCAATGGGAGGCCGTACAGGGACCCATGAGACACTCTGGACCTGGCAGCAGCATGAGGAGGGCGGTACAGGGGCCCATGGCAGATTACGGGCCTGGCAGCAGCAATGGGAGGCCCGTAATCTGCCAGCACCCTATGACAAAATGGAACACACCACCAGTGTGTGAGGAGACCTGAAAGTGGCACATGTTTGGGGCATGATTCATGGCGGATTTAGTCAGTTGTGTCAGGAACTGGTGGTTTGAAATCCAGACTAATCCACGCCTGATTCATTTTCACAAACGTGAGTCTCTCCACACTTTGGGTGGACAGTCGTGTCCTCCGCGGAGTTACAATACCTCCTGCCGCACTAAACACGCGCTCCGATGCCACGCTACTGGCCGGGCATGACAGCCTTTCAAGGGCAAATTCAGCTAGTTGGGGCCAAAGGTCAAGTTTCGTTGCCCAGTAGTCAAGGGGATTGTCTACCTCGGTTGGCAGGGTGCTGTCCAAGTAGGCCCAAGCCTGTTGTTTGAGGTCCTGCTCCAGGTCCACCTGATGCTGCTGCTGCTGCTGCGGCTGGTTAGTAGTTTCCTCACTGCGCTGGTGAAGAAAGCTACTCATCATCGACTGCAGACTGAGGCAGCCGCTGCTGGTGGAGCTGCCACTGCTCCTACCACCCCACCCCTCCCCTGCTGCCATGGCAGCGGAACGCGCGAGCGCACAGGGCCCACAGTGTCTGAGGATGGACGTTGGCGCAGAAAGGCAGAGACCAACTGACTACATAGGTGGTTTTTATAGTACGTTATTTTGGCCTCCCTCTCAGCAGGTGTGAAAAAGGCCACCATTTTTGAACGGTAGCGAGGGTCCAACAAGGTGGACAGCCAAAAGTCATCCCTCTGTCTGATGGTTATTATTCGGCTGTCGCTACGCAAGCAAACCGAGCATGCTATGGGCCATTTGTGCCAAGGAATGCGAGGGACTCCCTGCCTCCATCTCCACAGCATACTGCCCACGGTGCGTCTGGGTCCTCTGTCTCCTCCTCCTCCTCCTCTACCAGATGCTCCTGCTCCTCCACTCCTGTCCGCTGAGTGGAAAACCACCCATTTCACTCAATAAGTCCTGAGCACCAATGTCCTCCTCTACCTCCTCCTCTTTTCCTGTCCTGCCCCCACAGGGGTCATGTGGCGTTGAGATCTGTGCGCCACGTCTACCGCACCCTGACCAGCCATTGTTAACAGCATTTGTTCCAGGACGTGCAACAGAGGAATCACGTCGTTCATCCCATAGTCCTGCCGACTCACGAATAGCGTGGCCTCCTCAAAGGGCCTGAGCAAGCGGCAGGTGTCACGCATGAGCTGCCAATGGCTGACATCTAAGTTGCACAGGGGAGTACGTTTTATCCGCTTGTAACATCAGGAAATCGGTGATGGCCTTTCGCTGTTCGTAAAGGCGGTCTAACATGTGTAGGGTTGAATTCCACCTTGTTGCAACGTCGTAGATCAGGCGATGCTGTGGAATTCCGTTCTGCCGCTGCAGCTCAAGGAGGGTGTGCTTTGCGGTGTAGGAATGGCTGAAATGCATGCAAAGTTTACGTGACATTTTAAGGATGTCTTGCAGTGGGATGGTGGATTTTAGGAACCGCTTGACAACCAGATTGAACACGTGAGCCATGCATGGCGCATGGCACAACCTTCCTTGACGCAGAGCAGACACCATGTTCTTTCCGTTGTCGGTCAACATGGTTCCGATTTTCAGTTTGCGCGGAGACAGCCATCTGTCGATTTCTCTGTTCATTACACTCAGAAGTTCCTCCCCTGTGTGACTACGTTCGCCAAGGCATACCAGGTGCAGCACAGCGTGACACCGTTGCGCCCTGCACATGTGATATGCCGGTCGGGTAATGGGACTTGGCACGGGGGGGGGTGGCGGCTGAGGACACGGCGGAAGAAGAGGTGGTAGAGGCGGACATCTTTGCCGGACCAAGGACGTGCAAACGTGGAGGCAAAAGCGGCGTGACCTGTCCAAGTTGCTGGTGCGGCTGTGCCGGCACCACGTTCAACCCAGTGGGCCGTAAATGACATGTACTGTCCCTGACCGTAGTTACAGCTCCACACGTCGGCGCTGCCGTGCACTTTGGCAGAGACCGACATGCTCAAAGACTGGCCCACCATCTCTTCTACATGTGAATGCAGGGCTGGCACTGCCTTTTTGGCGAAGAAATGCCGGCTTGGCACTCTCCACCGCGGCGCGGCACAAGCCATCATTTCTCGGAAAGGTGCTGAGTCCACCACTTGGAAAGGGAGGGACTGCAGCACCAGCAACTTGGACAGGAGGACGTTCAGCTTTTGCACCGTCGGGTGCGTGCTTCGCAAACTGTTGTCTCTTGGAAACGGATTCCAAGAAAGACTGCTGACGGAATCCGTGAAGAGGAGTAGCAGGAGAAGGAGCATCTGAACAAGCGGAAGATGCCAACGAGCGACAACTCCCCTCAGCAGAGGTGTTGGAGCCTTGACTGGCTGATAGAGGGCGATTGACGTCGGGTGACGGAGCAAGTAACGGAGCGGGTGATGGAGCGGGGGCTGGGGCAGGCAGAACCGCCGTATCTTTATCACGGTTTTTTCCCAGGCCACCAAATGGCGACGCTGCATATGCTGACGCAACGCTGTAGTCCCAACATGGGCCCCCTGGCCACGCTTGACTTTCTGGCCACATAGTCGACATACGGCTACGTTTACTTCCTCGGGCGGCTTGACGAAAAATTGCCACACCGCCGAGTAGGAAACTTTGCCCCTGCTACTCCTCACTGGCTGACTGCTACTTCCTCCGTGCACACCGGCACCACTACTGGCCGTGGTGGTAGGCTGCAGTGGAGCTGGTGCTCTACTCCGTGGCCGTTTGCCTCCACTGACACTGCTGCGACCCTGCTGCCTCCTGGGCAAACCCACCGACTATTTTGCTCGCTGCCAAGCTGGCACCCTCTTCTCCTGATGATGCGGAAGCAATAGCCTGATGACGACGAGGCTGCCAAGTGCGATCAGCCTCATCATCATCAATTAGGGTCTCCGCCTCACTACTAGCCCCCTTGGCTGCGTGTGGGTCAGGAGACAGACCTGTCTCTAGACCGGCTACCGAGCCACTCTCCTCGCCAGTACTTCTTCGCCTGGCTGCTGAAGAGGCGGATGTCTCCCCCCGTTCCTGACCGCCCTCTGTTAGCTCTTCCTCACTGTACAGTGGGGCTGAGCCCACAGCATGCGATACTTCGCTTGGTGAGGAAGCACCAAAGGACAGGGGCAGGTAGAGGACACGTGATTTCAGTGGGCTTGCTCCCGGGCCATGCCAACTAACGGTTGTGTCTGACGTACGTACCCACCGACCGTTGGCTGTAGGTGTCAGAGGTGACCTGGGAAGAGAAAGACGACCGAGCCAACCAATCGATGACGGCAGGGTTGTCGGTGGAGACACGACCCGCTGGATGACACCGGGAGCACTGGCCTCTGGCTACGACTAGTGCTGCCTTGACCCCTTCCTCTGCTGCCACGTCTGCTCGCTCCTAAAACATTGCCTCCTCTGCCACTCCTCTGCATGTTGTCTGACATTACTCTTTAATTAAACGATTCTGTGTCCCTGGGTAACAATTCTGTGTCCCTCAGTAACAATTCTGTGTCTGTCCCTGAGTAACAATTCTGTGTCTGTCCCTGAGTAACAATTCTGTGTCCCTCAGTAACAATTCTGTGTCTGTCCCTCAGTAACAATTCTGTGTCCCTCAGTAACAATTCTGTGTCCCTCAGTAACAATTCTCTGTCCCTCAGTAACAATTCTGTGTCTGTCCCTGAGTAACAATTATTGTGTCCTGAGTAGTAACAATTCTGTGTCCCTGAGTAACAATTCTGTTTCCCTCAGTAACAATTCTGTGTCCCTCAGTAACAATTCTGTGTCTGTCCCTGAGTAACAATTCTGTGTCTGTCCCTGAGTAACAATTCTGTGTCTGTCCCTGAGTAACAATTCTGTGTCTTTCCTCTGAGTAACAATTCTGTGTCCCTCAGTAACAATTCTGTGTCCCTCAGTAACCATTCTGTTTCCCTCAGTAACAATTCTGTGTCTGTCCCTGAGTAACAATTCTGTGTCTGTCCCTGAGTAAATATTCTGTGTCTGTCCCTGAGGTGTGTCCCTCCAGTTAACAATTCTGTGTCCCCCTCAGTAACACGATTCTGTGTCCCTCAGTAACAAATTCTCAGTGTATCCTGAGTAACAATTCTGTGTACCCTCAGTAACAATTCTAGATGTCTGTCCCTGAGTAACACTTCTGTGTCTGTCCCTGAGTAACAATTCTGTGTCCCTGAGTAAGCAATTCTGTGTCCGCTCAGTAAGTCTCAATTCTGTGCCCTCAAGAAACAATTCTGATTCCCTCCAGTAACAATTCTGAGTCCCTGCAGTATTCACACGCTTCTGTGTCTAGTCCCTCAGTAACCATTCTTTGTCCCTTCAGCGCTAAACAATTCTGGTGTCTGTCCTGAGTAACCATTTCTGTGTCCTGAGTAACAGTCTGTGTCCCTCTGTAACAATTCTGTGTCCCTCAGTAACAATTCTGGTCCCCCGTCCTTGGTAAAAAATTTTGTTTTTCCTGAGTAACAATTCGTGTCGCCTAGTAAAAATTTTGTTTTCCCCAGTAACAATTCTGGTCCCTCGTTAAAACATTTTTGTCCCCCAGTAACAATTCTTTTTGTCCCTAGTAACAATTCTGTGTCCCTGAGTAACTTTTTTGTGTCCGAAACAATTTTGTGTCTTCCCAGTAACAATTTGTGTTGTCCCTGAGTAACAATTCTGTGTCCCCCGTAACATTCTGTGTCCCCCGTAACAATTCTGTGGTCCCTGAGTAACAAATTTTGGTCCCCCAGTAAAAAATTTTTGTGTTTTTTTTTGTTCCTGGGGAAAAAAATTTGTGTTTTTTTC